GAACGCGCGGCGCCTCGGGCGCGCGGCCGACGGCGCCCGGGCGGCGGCGCTGGGCGCGGGCGTGCCCGCGTCGGTCGTCGAGGCGGCCCTCGACGCCTGGCGGGCCGCCGCCGAGGGCATGGCCCTGCTGCCCTTCGTCGCCTGGGCCTCGGCGGACGACGTCTTGGGGCACCGCGTCTGGGGCGAGCGCTTCCTGCGGATCTTGGGAGCGGTCGCGACGGCGGAGGCCCGCGGCGGCGCGCGCGCGGCCGCGGCCGCGTGCGCGGCGCGCCGGGGCTCGGCCGCCGCGCGGCGCGAGGCGTTGATCCAGTGCGGCTGGCGCCTGGGCCTCCAGTTCGGCGGCGCCGCCGCCTGGGAGCACCGGGGCCGCGACGCGGGCTACGCGCGGTCGTCGTCGTCTTCGTCCGCGGAGACCGTGAGCTCGATGTCGAGCGACGACGAGGGGGACAAGGGGCCGCCGCCGTCGCCCTTCGCGACGCTCCTGCGCGCCTTCGTGGAGCGGACGGCCCTGGGCCTCGGCGGCGACGACGCGCGCGACCTGTCGGCGCGCTGCGAGGCGCTCCTCGTGGCCGCGGCGCGCGTCGGCGGCGGCGCGCCGTGCGCGCCGCTCGGCGCGGGCGTGCTCACGCTGGCCGAGGTCCTGGACGCCTGCCGGAGCACGGCGGGTATCTGCGGCGGCCCGCTCGCGCTCGAGGTGCTTGGCTGGCTCGAGGCGCACGTCCGCGCGAAGGTCGCCGCCGGCCCCGCCGCGGCGCCCCGGCCGCAGCGGCGCCTCGCGGCCACGGGCGCGGGCTCTTCCGAGGCGCTCTTCGCGAACTTCCTCGCCGACTTTGGCCAGGCGGCGAACGCGACGTTCTGCACGCGCGCGTGGCGCCGCTACGCGTTCGAGCCGCGGACCGCGTCGTTCGTGCCGCGCTGGGCGCGCGCGTGCTGCGAGTGCCTCGTGCGCGGCGCCGGGGCCCCGCAAGTCCACGCCCGGGACGACGGCTGGGCGAGCACGGTCGACGCGGACGCCGTGCCCGGGCGGCCGTCCGTCGCGGCCGCGCTTTTGGAGATCGTCGCCCACAACTCGCCCCTCGACCTCGCGCAGACGCTCCTCCGCGTCGACGGCGAGTCGACGCGCGTCTCCGCCGCGGCGCAGCGCGCGGGCACCGTCACGGGCGGCTGGCTCTCGCCCTACTCGTTCCACCTCGCGCGCGGCCGCACGCTCCACATGCGCCGCTGCTTCGTCCGCGACCCGATCACGTCGACGTCCTGCTTCGCCGTCGCCGCGACCCTCGGCTAGGGGCCTCGTCCCCCGCACTGTGCTCCCGTTGTGCTTCCGCTGCCTCCTGCCCCCCCCCCGTGTGCGCCCCGGTAAACCGTGTTCTCAGAGCTCGTCGTTACGCCTCGCGGAGATGGCGGCGACGCGGAGCTCGGCGTTCCGGAAGTTCTCCGCGAGCTCCGGGAACGCCGGGTAGAGCGCGAAGAGGTGCTTCAGGAAGACCCAGTGGGACACGACGGCGACGCGCGGCTCGGGCCGGTCCGCGAGCCAGGCGAGGAAGTCGGCCGCGCGCTCCGAGCACAGCGTCGCGGCCATCTCGTCGGGCTCGACCTCCTTGCGGCTCGTCCAGAGCGCGTCGTCGTCGTCGTCGACGTCGGAGAAGTCGACGAAGGACCCGAAGTCGGCCTCGAGCGCCGCCCGCGTCCGCCGGTGGTCGCACTCGTGGTCCGCGATGCGCTCGCGGCAGAGCTCCGTGGACACAAAGGGGACGTCGAAGCCCTCGAAGGCGAGCGCCGCGGTCTGGATCGTCCGCGTCAGCGTCGACACGACGACGACGTCCGGCGGCGCGAAGGTCGCGTTCGCGGCGAGCTCCGCGTTGAGCGCCCGCGCCTGGCCCTCGCCGACCGGCGTGAGTCGCGCGTCGCGGTACGCCTCCGTGAGGCCGAGCGCGTCGGCGTGCCAGTTCGGCAGCTCGCGCGCGTGCTTGTTGTGCCAGCCCTCGGCGTGGCGCACGAAGAGGATCGTCTTCTCGTCCTCCGACGCGGCCTCGCCGGGCCGCAGCGCGACGGTCGTCGCCGCCCGGGCCGCGCAGCGCGCGAGGATGAAGGCGGCGGAGACCAGCGCGCGCGGACGCGCCGCGACCAGCATGATTGGCGGCAGCGACGCGGCGGGTTAATGCGCAGCGGACTGGCGCAGCGACGCGGCGGGTTAATGCGCAGGGGACTGGTGCAGCGACGCGGTCAGCGCGGTGACGACGGGCTTGTCGGCGCAGCTCGACGTCGAATCGACGGTGCATCATTAGCTCATTGAGCCTATATTGAACCCCATCAACCGGCGGCGGCGCTGCCCGCGGCCCCAACGACGACGATGGCCGACGAGCACAAGAGCGACGCGAAGCCCAAGCTGGAGAAGCAGGACAGCAAGAAGGGCGTCAAGTACGTGAAGCCCGGCGACTCGCAGATCAAGATCGAGCCC